GTTCCTGAGATTTTTTTATTATGAAAGGGCAATGGACTTTGTCAAATGTTTTTCCTTCGTCAATTGAGATCACCATTTGGGTTTTTTCCTTCATTCTGTCAGAGTGATGTATTACATTGATTTTCTTGTGTTGAATCACATTTATATTCCTGGGATAATCACATTTGGTTTTAATTTACAGAGTTCTAATGACTAGTAATGTTGAATATCTATTTATGTGCTTTCAGCCATCTGTATATCTTCTTTGGTGAAGTGTCTGTTCACATCTTTTGCTCATTTAAAAATACTGAGTTGTTTGTCTTATTGATTTGCAAGTCTTTTCTCAGATATATGTTATACAAATATTTTATTCCAGTCTGTGGCATGTTTTTTAGCTTTTTAATAGTATTTTTTAAGGACAAAATTTGAACATTTGAAGTACAATTTATAATTTTTTTCTTTTACTGTTTTTGTTTTCTGTGTCCTAAGACATTTTACCCAAGATCACAGAGATTTTAACCTATATTCAATCTTAAAATAAATGGCTTCTGGCTTAGTCTTCATGTTCTCAGATTACTCTCCTCTGTTTTTATTCATGCAGTGACTACAGACTTCACATATAGTAATTCTGATGGAAATGTGTATTGAATTTTAAAATTAATACTTGGTATGTGCCTTCTTCACTATCCTGTGTCTGTACAGTCATCCCTCAGTATCCACGGGTATTGGTTCCAGGATCCCCACCCCTACCCCCAGATATGAAAATCTGTGGATGCTCAAGTTCTTTATATAAAATGGTGTATTATTTGCATATAACCTACGCACATCCTCCCCGTATACTTTAAATCCTCTCTAGATTATTTATAACACCTAATACAATGCAAATGCTATGTAAATAATTGGTGGTGCATGGCAAATTTGAGTTTTGCTTTTTGGAACTTTCTGGATATTTTTTCAAATATTTTTAATCCGTGGTTGGTTGAATCCACAGATGTGGAACTTGCAGATACTGAAGGCCAACTGTACTGCCTCCTATGTGGTCATGCACATGCCAGGCAGACCCATAACACAGAGTTTTCTGGGACCCAAGGTTTCTCCCAGATGGCTGTCCTCCCGTGTTCCAGCAGAGGATGTTAGTTTCTGTCATGGTAGTCAAGAATAGCTCACGTGACTTTCATAGAGGACAACTATATTTGTTAATATTTATTCCAGGCCCCATCCTAAACTCTTTACACATTTTAACTAGTTTGATCCTCAAACCCCACAGAAAGTAAACGACGGCTCAGAGACTCCAGGCTCCATCTAATACAGCCAGTTTGAGGCAGTCAGTCAGATCCAGAGCGGCTTAATTCCAAAGCCTTTGCTCTTCCCACTATAAAAACTACCATAGGCTGTGGCTGGAGTCTTATATAAGTGAGCACATTTTGGGAAACGACATGGACCTGATTTTTCTTCTTCTTACATCAGATGCATCTCCAGATGCATTGAAGTTCAGACATCTGATTCTGAAGTCCTGCCGTGGGGTCTCAGGACAGAGTTTTCCACAGGGTGGCCCTTAGCCCCCAGGTAGAGAACCACCTTTCCTGCGCTCAGCCCACATGTGTCAGCAGGGCCACATAGATGAGGGCAGTGTAGCTTGTGCACTGCACAAAGGTATATGGCTAAGGGGGCAAGTGTGGGTTAGAATCCGGCCTGCTTTGGTCCTGCGGGTCCATGGGGCAGTGTCTTCCCAGAGGGGCATCATCCTTTTATAATCTCTACAAAGGCACCATATCTGCTAGCAGTGGCCCTGTCCTTTAGGTGAAGCTGACTAAACCCCTGGGCTCTAGAGAAGTTACATGTAATATAACTTAGCTAAGTTAATCATCACATTCTATCCTCCTGGCCATAGTGATTGGTTGAGGAATGAGCACATAACTCATGCAGGAGACTCTTGGCCAGTGAGGCTTGGTTTGGAGGCTTTTGTTTGAGGGCTGTGGTTCTCTCCTGATAAGGTGAGGACTGGAGCTGCTGCAGCCATCTTGCAACCAGGTGGAGCTTGATAATGAAGTTAATTCCCAGAAAAGGTCAAAAAACATCAAGAGAGGGGCTTCCCTGGTGGCGCAGTGGTTGAGAGTCCGCCTGCCGATGCAGGGGACGTGGGTTCGTGCCCTGGTCCGGGAGGATCCCACATGCTACGGAGCGGCTGGGCCCGTGAGCCATGGCTGCTGAGCCTGTGCTCCGCAACGGGAGAGGCCACAACAGTGAGAAGCCCGCATATCACAAAAAAAATAAAAAATAAAAAATAAAACATCGAGAGAAAACCTTATCCTGGTGACATTGTTGAACCTTTGGTAAGTTATGCCTGAAGCCCAAATCTACTTATGGACTGTGGAATAACATAAACCAATAAATTCTCTTTTTTGCTTGAGACAGTCTGGCTGTCAGTTGTGACCAGAAGCACACTAACTATTCCATACACACCCGCACACATGCCTGCTCCCTATACCACGTTCTGGCTTTATATTTTCATCATAGCACCTGTCGCTATCTCATAGTACTTTATTTACATATTTAGTTAATTGTTTTCCTACATCCACTCCTCACCCCTGCTGAAGTGTATGCTCTAAATGGCAAGGAATTTTATCTTCTTTGTTCACTGATGGATTCCCAGTTCCTGAAATGAGTTCTTAGCACATAGCATGCATTCAATAATATTTTGTTGAATGATATACCCCTACTCAGTGAATTATTAAGGATTACTAAAATTCCAGATGCATAAATGAAAATCAGCACAGTTCTAGAGTTGACCAAGGACCATATCAGCCTTCTAATGAGACAATGGGAAGGTAATAAAGCTTGCACTATGCACGTGTACATGCAGATTGTTGGCATTTCAGCAATTTCAGGGAGGGGGCTTAGTTATTGTTACATCACCAAGATTGTTTTCAGTTGGTGAGGCTTTTCAATTGGAATTCTAAGTACATTTAAAATACTTTTAATGTATTTATAGAATGACTGTTAGGTTTTACTTTTTGTTTTGTGTCGGTGTATCTGCTGTTTTTTACTTTTTGGATTTTTATTTTGTTCATCTCTACTTCTTTACTATCATGATGTATTATTTTTCCTTTGGAAAGTGTAACTGAATTAGGGGAGATAGGTGAGCCATGGTGTCACATGGACTGGAGCTGCTGCAGCCATCTTGCAACCAGGTGGGGCTTGATAATGAAGTTAATTCCCAGAAAAGGTCAAAAAACATCAAGAGAGGGGCTTCCCTGGTGGCGCAGTGGTTGAGAGTCCGCCTGCCATAGTCAGAAAAAAACTGAGAACCTCTACCTTTTTGGGGGATTGTCATCTACATTTCATTTACATCCTTTCACTTCTTACAGGTAATACCACAGAATCTGGCACTTAATCTAATAAGGTTTACATGGCTCCTGTCAGTCTGGTAGTCCCCGTTTATTTACCATCTCCATCATAGAATCTGATACTTTTGTTTGATTCTCTGACAGTGATTTGCCCCAGAGCCCTCCTGGGAGTTGGTGGTTGCTTTTTGTGAACCTAACTGTATCCTTCGTAAGAATGACCCTTTTTCATCTGCCTGTCACCTTGTCTGAACTCTCAACTGTTAAGAGATTTGTCCTTCGGGTTAACAAGCTATTTAACACTTCGCGGGAGCAATGCATTAGTTCTGATGTTTTTCTTTGACAACCAAAATGGTGACAAGGTTGTGATGTGAGGAAGGAAGAAGAAAGGAAAGACAGAAGAAAGCGGAGGTGGGTAGGGCCAATGCTCTGTTTCATTTCCCCTCTCTTCGTTCAGCCGGCGCTCGGTAGCTAGTCTTAGGCTGCCTAGGCGATAGGGGATCATCTTCAGGTTGGGGTATAAGATTTTGTGTTTACTAGTCAGCAGTGCCATGTGGGTGAAGTGAGTGGCCATCTGCATAGCCTGGACTGCACGGCCAAGCCACATGTCCTCTCCTCTCTGGCGACGTTTTCTGCTAAGAAAAGGGCATGGGATCACACCAAAGCCATGTTTTCTGTAATTGTCAAGTCCATATTGTTTTTTGTCTTACATTGCCAAGTAGATTCCTGACCTAGGGAGGAAAAAACTGACCTCCTCGGTATTGGAGCCACCACCTCATAAAGAATCACAAACCTCGGAAGGCAAAGAGACTCGAGCAAGACCACGTGAGCTGTCAGCAGCAGGAGAGAAAAGAGCACCTGAGGCCAGGCCAGGTGCACTGCACCTGCTGTGCCTGTCATCTCCCCTCAGGAGCTGCAGAGCTTACAATGAAATAAACTGCCACCCTCTCAAGCCTGCTTCGAGGTTGGCCAGGCATGTCATCTCCATCTCTCCTTTATCACACCAGGGCTGCAGCTGGGGAGGAGCTCTTCTAAGGGGGGGTGGGAGGCAGAGACTGGAAGGAAGGAAATGGAGAAACACTTGGGTGTGTTTTCTGAGTCGTATTTCACCTTTTCACTCTCATCGCTACTGAAGTGCAACAGAGCAGCCTTCTATGCACACAACCATCTGTTAAAAGGTGGCCCTGGAATTTACGGTCCACATCACCCTAGTAGAGACTCTGCTGGTAAATATTCCCCATGGCAAATGGAACAATAAGCAGGTGGCTGAGGAGAATGAGGGCAATAGAGAGAGGGCAGAGGGATGTGGAAGCAGAAGAGGGCTAGAGGCTCTTTCCTGAGTTTCTTTCTCCGGTCATCAAACCTTTATCCTCGATGGCCAAAGACCTGGCTCTTTCATCAGTGGGAGATGCATACCCCTCGACTGCTGAGGGCAGCTAGAGGTGGGGAAGAGAGTACCATGGAAAGGGGTTATGGGGTGAACATTTAGAGCTAGAAGACACTGTCATACCAATGTTGACGTCCCTGTCCCTGAGCTTAAAAGTGTCAGTGCAGTAAGGGCCTCATCAGTCTTAGCTGCTATGTATACTCTCCGAGACAACGATCAGATTGCCAGCATGGCAGAGAAGGAAGAGGAAAGGGGCTTGAGCAAGGGTTGGCAGGATCTTGATTCTTTCTCTATGGTCGGTACTTGCATAGGAAGTGTTGGAGCTTGCTGCATTCTTTGCTGTTTCAAGTCAAAAAACCTATAAGAAAATAAACAGACCTTTAAATCTGTCTGATTGTGTATTGAGCTTATCAGTGACCTCGGGGTGTTTTGCTCGGACCCATGGATAAGGTACATAATTTTACTGGTCAGCTTGCCTAGGATGTGGTGCCCAGTTGTTTGGTCAAACACTGGTCTACGTTTGGGTGTGAAGGTATTTTTCTTTTTAGATGTGATGAGCATTTAAATCAGCAGACTTTGCGTAAAGCGGATTACCCTCCATAATGTAGTAACCATCCAATCAGTGAAGGCCTTAAGAGAAAAGACTGAGATCCACGGAAAAGAGGGAGGAATTCTGCCTTCAGGCTACCCTCAGCCTCAAGACTGCAGCATCAACTCACAGGAACGTCCAGCCTGCTGACCTGCTCTGTGCACCTCAGATTTGCCAGCCCCACAATCGCGTGAACCAATTCCTTAAGATAAATCAATCTCTCTCTCTCCCCCTTCTATTTCTCTGGAGAATCCTGACTAAAAGAGGTACTAACTTTGCTAATGGAAAGAAAAATAATTTAAATGTCACACACAATTGCAGACACTCTACACCAGCACTGCTTTTGAGGGAAGGCACGGCTTGACATAAACCAACCGAAAACAAGAGGCTCTTTCATGTTTGAAACAGGATGCTGTAAGGAACAGACGGTGATCTCTCCTGACGTCCACAGCTGAGGAGCTACAAAGATCCCATCTGAAGTTCAAAGAATTGGAAGCTGCTGAAGCCAGCCGTGTCCCATCTGGCCACTCATTTATAAAGAAGGACTGAGAGGAAGGACTTTTGAAGGACTGAAGTATTTTTGAAGAGAGGTCCAATTATTTCCCTTCCAGAAACCAAGCTCCACAGAATCACTTGTCATTCTGGGGCGTCTGCCATACAGTGATGAGTTGTACCCCAGCTGGATGTCTGCCTGGCTCTGACTTGCAGATCTGGCCCTGACACCAGTACCAGTGTGTGTCAGGTCACTGGGATGACAGCCCTGAGAGAGAGGGCATGGGGGCACAGCCAGACAAGGCGGGGTGAGGCACGCCCCCTCATGTGCCTGGTTCTCAGGAGGTACAGAGTATGGGTCCTGCTCATTATTGCAGCCATGGGCCCCAGAGCGGGGCCACAGAGTGTAAATGAGATGGAGATACAAGCATTCTGGGCACTGTCATGGTGTGGGGCAAAGAACATGGCACGAGGCATCAAACAACCAAGGGTTAGCAAGCCCCCCTGTGGGCACTAATTTAGGGAGGTGTCTCTTTTCACTCTCTTCCTCCATTCCTCAACACCAGAGGGGCAAGTGCAGGGATGCACTCTCCCCTCCAGGCCACGAGAGCCACGAGCCAAGCTTGCACCGTGATAAGCCCTTGACCTACATTACGATGATTAGTAGTATTATTTTTTCTCCTTTACAGAGTGGCATCTGAGGCACAGAGAATTAAAAAATCTGGTCAAGGTCACACAGCTGAGAGCAGGAGCTGGACTCCTAACCCCAGGCATTCAGAATGCAGAGCCCAGGGTTGTTGTTGTTTTTTTTTTTTTTTCTTTTGCGGTACACGGGCCTCTCACTGTTGTGGCCTCTCTCGTTGCGGAGCACAGGCTCTGGACGCGCAGGCTCAGCGGCCATGGCTCACGGGCCCAGCCGCTCTGCGGCATGTGGGATCTTCCCAGACCAGGGCATGAACCCGTGTCCCCTGCATCGGCAGGCGGACTCTCAACCACTGCGCCACCAGCGAAGCCCCAAGCCCAGGGGTTTGACCTAAACTATATTGAATATGAAATTTATTTTTCAGTCATAGAACCCTAGTTATCATTATTCAATATCTCAAGGTGGACCAACAGGTAAGTCAGGAGGCACCATGAAATACAATTTTCCAGAGGGTCAGAGTCTTTCTAAATAGATAGAAAAAAGGAACAAGGCCAGTCACACAGAGAGGCACACACACAGGATGTGAGTGTGAGGCCTAAAAAAACCTTGTGAATCTTAGAAAAACAATTTAGCCACTGAGTTGGTGAGGCTAAATCTGTTATACAAATATAAAGTGACATTGACGAGGCTGAGGGAATGTCCTTTTACATTCTACCTTCACCAGTTTCTAATCCTTGCTTCATTCCTTGTACTTTTCTGCCATAAGAGCCTGTATTCTGAGAGTGGAGAGCTGCTCTGGGCGAAAGGGAAGGGTAGTGTCCAATGGCCTGGCATTCTCAGGTGGACGTCTGGCTTCTGAGCCCCACACAGGAAACTTCATTGTTGGGAAATTTGCTGATGTAAACACGGACTGACAGGGGAAAGATTTTTGTTTGAGAACTTTGTCCAAGTGAAATCTTAGGATCATGGGAGGGACTTTGGAAGGCATCTGGTCCATTGCTTCCCTGAAGCTTGGTCTGGCATCCAGCCCTAGAGACTCTCATGTTGTCGGTCTGAAGCAATCCCTGGAATTCATATTTTTAAAATGTTCCTCAGTTGACTCTCATGTGCTGTGAACCTCTTTTAACACTTTTAACGCTGCAACTACAACAACAACTACAATGTCCGCTTTTGCTTGGTTAACTCTAGTGACGGGTTTCTCACTACTTCCTGGGGTAGCCCATTATGTTTTCGGACAGGGCTGATTGTTCAAAATATTTTTCCTTAGTTTGGATAGAAATCCACATTTTGGTAGCTTCTACCTATTGGTCTTGGTGTGTTCCTTCCATCTGAGATGAATTATTCCTTTAACAGCAGCAGCTGTAGTCTCTGAAAGACTGTGGAAAGTCCTTCCTTGGTCTGTGATATGACCCACTTACCTCTGAGTGGTAACTTAACTCTTTGCCTCAGAGTTTGTCTCCACATGGCCATCATTCATCCTTTGCTGTCAGAAAGTTTTCTCACTCTTTTGTGCATATAAGCTTTATTCCTCAGACAACAGTAAACCCTGTTCCACGTCCCTTTCCACCTGAGCCCCAGTATCTGAGTCCTCAGTCTGGGCTGTGCCCCTGACCCACTCCCTGGCTAGTGGGGGAGTCTTAGTGACACTATGATAACTTTTTAAACCCACTGGGATGTTCTCTTTCATATCAAGTGTGCTTTTTATCTTTGACATTCTGTTTTCTTTTCATATCACTTATTAGCTGTGGTTCTCAAATAGGAGTGATTTTGTCCGCCTAGGGGACATTTAGCAAAGTCTGAAGACACTTTTTGTTGTAACAACCTGTGTCTGTGTGGATGCTACTGGCATCTGCTGGTTAGTGACTAGGGTATGCTCAACCTACAATGCAGAGGACAGGCCCCAAGACAAAGCATTATCCACCCCCAAATGTCATTTGTACCAAGGCTGAAATCCCTAGCTTATTAGCATTAAAAAAGCAAAAACTTAAAAAAAACAAAACAAAACAAAAGCAAAGAATGAAGCCAGGCAAGAGAAATGAGGAGGCTGCAGTGATTGTATGCAGCCTGCAGCTGAGGTTCTGGGCGCTGCATCCTCAGAGAAACAAATGAGGAAATAACCCAGGCAAAGGTGAGGTTTCCAGGGCTCACGCGGAACCCTAACTATAAAGAAGCCAGATAGGAGTCACATATATTTGCTCCCTGTAGCCTGGTTTTCCCCAAATGTGACATATTTCCCCCTCATGGTATGTAACAGAATTTTAAGATAAACATATTTAAGAAAAAAAGTGAATGTAATTATTTTGCTGCATAGGAGTAATTAACACAAGCATTGTAAATCAGCCACACTTCAATTTAAAAATGAGTTATTAAAAATCAAAAAAAAAGAAAGAAAAAAGTGAGTGGATTTAAAGAATATATTGATAACTGAACCG